ATGGAAGAGAGTCAATGAGCTGCCTTGATTTGACGAGAAACTGTAAATAAGGGTGTTTGAATCTGGTTATACTCTACAGGTAAATCTGTGGCATATTTAGCAGATTGTAATATGCAATGATTCATATGTAACAACAAGAACATCCTCCTCTCGAATGATGTTGTTTGCTTTGTACATCTTAAAGAAAAATTTACAGTATATATAACAATTTTGCGCTTGTCATTGACATTTGTCCTCTTTTTCTTAGTGTTGCCGACCGGGTCGGGTTTGGCATTCCCTTTTTTTTTTTTTTTTTATAGTTTCTTCCTCACTTTCAACAAAATCCTCGTCGATATTCATCTCGTCCATGTTGATTTCTTCGTCTTCAACAATATTCGAGTCTTGTTCGGGGTCTCCTTTTGTGGAAGTGGTTGACTGTATCTTTGGCCTTGTTCGCTTTCTTTGTCGAGGGAGGTTCATCGACGTCGCCGACGATATTTCGACAGATTCTCGGCTACCTCTGCTACGCGGTTTATTTTGGAAATTTAATCTTCCTCTAAACAAGCTTGCGATCGACTTTAAGTTTAACGTTGTGGAGGCGAGAACTAGATCTCGGCTGTGGGGCTTCTCTCTCACTGATGATGACTGCCTCCGACAGTGTTGGGTTGGTCAATTTTCGCCATTAATTGTAACTTGGTTTCTCGAAGAAGAAGGTAATTATGGCGTGAAAGAGGAGAGAAAAATTTGAATGTGGATAGTGAGATTGCTTGATAATAGTAATCTTATGCGCAGCTCAAATTGCATTGACTCCCTGCCTCTCGTCCTTGAGTCCTGGATTCAGGCCTTCGAAATTCTCCTCAAAATCGCCATTTTCTCCTGCCTGGAGCTTTTGGGTTACGGGGACTCACCACAAGTTATCAACCAAGGTAACTAATTGACGGAATTCTGAATAAATTTATGTGCACATCTCCAGGTTAATTTTTTTTATTTTTTTATTTTTCCCAACGGCAAACAAATATATAACTAGAAAACTCAAAAAATATACTGACAAGAAGGAGCCAGATAACTGGACCTACTCTCTAGAAGTTTGAGTTTTTCCAATGGCAAACAAATATATAACTAGAACACTCAAAAAGAGTACTGACACGAAAGGAAACAGATAACTGAACCTACTCTCTTGAAGTTTGGGATGAATTCAAGAGGTACAATACCAGAGCGGAGCAACCGCAAACCCAAAACAAAATTCCACAAAGGGAAATAAACTCCATGAAGGAGATAAACCGGACAAGATAAAAAAAAAACATACACCTAATGTACAAATAAACTAGAATCTCCCCTACACATAACAGACTCGATGCCCAACCACTGGGGACCACACACGATTCACATCCACTAGTAAAGAGATCCAACAAAACCTCAAACCGGAACCTCGAGTCCGAAAATTGCGACTACTCGTGCCGCCTAGACGGATTTGAAGAAGAGATTGCTCTCGTTCAGATCTAGACTCCGAAAATCATCCACGCTGGGGGAGGAGAGGAAGCCGCCGCGAGGACACCAACCGCGAGGACATCTCTAGGTTACGTTGCTGATGTACTTCATTGATTATCCCTCTTGATTGGTTACGTTGTTGTAATAAGAGCTTCGGGTATTAATTATGATTTTACATGTGTGTATCTTGAGCTTTGGGTAATAATTATGATTATGATGACTAGGGTGTAATACGTATTTAAATATATTAATTTTTATAAAATTAACATTATGTATGATGAAATATGAATACTCAACAATAATAAATAACTAACAAAGTGATAATTAATTCAAATGGTGCCCGTAATTTCACATTATATTTGCCAAAATAGATATTTTTAAAATTGTATATGTATAAAACTGATATTATTTATGATATAGCCATACCGTCATATAACGGCTTATGATGTCCCAGTTCGGATATCGAGTCGACTTACTCCAAGTCGACTCCTCTCACATATCTCCTCATAATGATACACCCGACCGAAGGTCCGGATGCTTTTCTTAGTTGACTTCTACCCTGTCGACTAGACTTGAGTCGATTCCGTCTGGAAAGATAAATGAGTATATTAGGGTCTACTAGCAAGTGGAGGACGGCCCAGTTGGATCGAAAGAAAGGTTGTCTCAAGTCGACTGAAGTGGACTCGGGGCTCTCGGATCCCCGACGACTCTTATACACTTCAGTATATCAGAAGTAAGCTATTAAGGGATAAGGAAGGATCTAGATGCTGACTAGGAAGAGGACAGAATACGAACCGACCAGGGTATTTTGGACATTTCCAGTAAGTCGGCCAGGGCATTTTGGGGACTTCAGGTAAATGTTCTACTTCTATATAAAGGAGCTGAGGTAACTCTAAAACCCTAACTCCCATTCATTCCACACACTCCCCCATTGCTGCTGCTTCCTCAGAGCAGCTCTTTCTACTCTTTTCATATACTGACTTGAGCGTCGGAGGCTCTACGCCGGAAATCCCTCCGGCGTTGAGTTCTTGCAGGTGTTCTCGCAGTTCGATAGCAATTTGGAGACCATCAAGACAGATCGAAGCTCGTTCTCATCGGTTCATTCCAGATCCGGGCGATTTTCCACCGGTTCACCCCAGATCCGAGAATAGACACATCAATTTACAACTTTCAAATATTTGATTCGTTTTTGTTTAAACAAAATAGTTTTATTGTATTGTGATTATGTTATAGAGTCAGTGTCTCAGTTTATTAATTTTTAAAGTATTTTAAATTCATAATTGATAATTTGGAATTTATGTTAAAAATGTATTATTTTCCATATTTATGAAATAATAATGATTTTATTATATTTAATTAGATATTATTTTATGTTTACTATTTTAACTAGCATAATAATATTCAACTTTTTATATATCTATTTAAATTGAGAAATAATACTTTATAATATTTCTTAAAATTTTTTATATTATATAATTTTATCCAAAATTTATGAGTTAGATTTTATTATTTTTATAAAATAATTTATATTGTTATAAGATGTTTAAAATTGAGTTAATAATAAAATTGTTTTTATTTATAAATATGGATAAAATTATTTTTTATTTCACATATACAATATGGATGCCAAATTGGAAATCGTTGAAATATGATTATTTTGGTAGATCATATATAAAAAATAAAATACAAATAAAAGATTTATAAAGTAATAATAAAAATAAAAAGAATACATATTTGTAATAATTAGTATATGAAGTAAATAAAAAATGTAAGAGTAGTATATGGTAACTTAAGAAAAAAAAATGAAAGCTAAAATAATTTTTGGTAATTGCCTGGCCTAATAGACAAAACTGTTGAAGATGAATAATCCCAAATCTGTATTTTTCCTTGATGGAAGGCACACACAGTGTGATTTACATTAATACTGAATACGTGTGGCAACCACACATTAGACCTACACGTGCGCTAATGTCTAACTGACTAACAGGTAGACTATACATAATAATAACAAACTAAGCTATATCGCAATACACCCCCTTGAATCCGAGCCACATGCCGAGGTGGATTTTGCACGCAGAGACAGTTGAGAGCAAAGAAAATGAAAGCGACTAGGAGAAAGGGGTTTTGTCAAAAGATCAGCAAGTTGAAGGTTTGAGGGAACATATCTCACCTCAACCTCCTTAGAAGCCACTTTCTCTCGAACAAAATGAATATCAATTTCGATATGTTTGGTCCGTGCATGATGAACCGGATTAGAAGCCAAGGCAGCAGCACTACTATTGTCACACCATAGAACAAATGGTGCTTCAAAAAATAAACCGAGTTCACGAAATAAGGACTGCATCCAAAGAAGGTCTGTGGTGATAGCGGCAAGACATCGATACTCAGACTCCGCACTGCTACGAGAGACTACTTGTTGCTTCTTAGAACTCCAACTGAGAAGGTTAGGGCCCAAAAAAATAAAATGACCTCCAGCAGAGCGCCTATCATACACACAACTAGCCCAATCGGCATCAGTGAAGGCTTGTAAAGTGAACCGCTGAACTGGTTTAAAATGCAGCCCAATAGTTAAAGTAACCTTAAGATATCTGAGTAAATGCTTGTAAGCAAGCCAATGATTTTTAGTTGGAGCATGAAGAAATTGACTGAGCTTGTTGACCGCAAAGGCAATGTCAGGTCTATAAATAGTGAGATACTGGAGAGCCCCAATCACACTCCTATAAAAAGAAGGGTCAGTGAAGGAGTCACTGTCAGTGAGATGTAGTTTGTGAGAAGGAGAGATAGGGGTAGAGACAGGCTTGCATAAAACCATATTGGTCTTGACTAAGATGTCCAAGGCATACTTAGCCTGGTTCAAAACAAAACCCTCAGAAGTTTGCAGGGCTTCAAAGCCAAGAAAATGGTTAACCTCTCCCATGATTTTTAATGAGAATTTGTTCCCAAGAGTATCAATTAGCTGTTCAACAGCAGTTGGATTGTCCCCAGTAATAAGAATGTTATCTACATAGATGAGAATCAACAACAGGTCACCATTTTGCCTTTGGTAAAACAAAG